CAGAGATGAAAGGAGGCCTGTGCCCATTTGTGGGACGTAAATGTTTTAAATTCCTTTAGTTGTATATTCTTACATAATTTTGTACTATAGGTGTATTCACAATGGTTTTAGCTCATTAAACCATGAGTCCTGTTCGATACTCAGCCGGATTCATTGAGATAATATGTTACTACGTAACAGTAACATATTATCTCAATGGCCGGATTCAATTATTTTCCAGGTCGTGCAAAATGTAACATCTATAGTTAACCCACAGCCGGTCAAGACTTCTATCGTTTGTGAGAGGTTTTTTGTAATAGGGAGGACTCCGCCATGCTGCTATGTTAGACCTGTTGGCAGACTTACATAATATCCTCTGAATGATTGTTTATATTTCTAGACATGTCATGCAAGTGACTGCTCCGGTTGTGGATGTTTGTCCTTGTGCAATTTATGTAGCTATGTAATCTGCCTCCACGATACAGGAGAAAATCCTAGTGTGGGAGTAACATTTTTTTTTCTTTGTGAAGGAAAACTACGTGAAGATATCTGCAGGTACAATTATTTGTAGGACATACAAATACTTGTTCCGTGCGGGATTCGTACCCGCGAAACTCAGCGCTGCAGCTCAATGCTAAGTCATTGCGCCAGGTAGCCGTCCACCGCTCGCTGCTCTATTACGTGTTGATTTACTTCACATATCCTCAGAATAATTGTTTATATTTCTTAGGCATGCAGGTTTCCTCACGATGTCTTTCTTAACAATAGAATACGTGGAAAAATAAAATCGGTGTTGTTACGCTGACGTGATGCTGATGTGCACGGTATCACACGTATCAGGTTTGCACAACGCTCAATGCCGAGGAATAATTACAATATGAAATTCACCAGCCTGCTCCAACAGCTGGACATGTGCCCCTTCCTCTCAATAATAACGCTAGGCAGGTGGGACGACAATTGCAGTACGAGACGTCTTGCACCATTGGTGCTGCCTGTCGCCGATCTACGTACTACTTTACTTTTAACGTCATCTATCGGAAGCCATATCATTTGTGGCATTTCCCATTCTTGCCTCTTATTAGATCTCAATTTGATGCACTTAGGAAAGTTTGATTTGTTCGAAAGCTCGAATAACGAAAACAACTGAAGAACAAAAAGGATGGTGCAGATAAATGGTAGTTTCAATCTTGTTTTATAAGTTTAAAATACTTACAGCCAGACTCAATGAAAACTAATTCTCGGCTATGATTATATGATGGCGACTTTTTCAAAAGGGATCTTAATCAAATAGGAATATGAGTTTAACTAAAAAGTAGTATTTCCTATGAAAAACTTGAAATCCGCATCCGCATCCGCAGATGTCAAAAATTCTGCATCCGCAACATCCCTAATGTATACATAAGACACACAGTATATCGATATCGACTTGCTGCTTCTTATCAGATTGTCACTCTAGTTGGAGTCCGCGCTACATTTCTCTTACCGGGACGAGGGTGCCGATCGGCTACCTTTCTCCCCCAGTTATCGGTTCTTTGAGGTATAAGACTTGTTTGATAATATAATGGTTGATAATAACCCCTGCGAATGAGGTGGTCGCTTCCAAGCGGTTTCTAAAATAAATTTTGTAAATAGTTCGTAATCATTTATTATATTATATTGTAAAATTTATTTACAAAAAAAGTCTCGCTGGGTTTCTTGCTGGTTTTTCCCAGGACAGAGGGTTTTTTTTTCGAACCAGTGGTAAAGTAAAAAATGACTTTCAATAAGAATTACACATAAAATGTATATTGAATAAAAATTATTCTATTCTATTCTATTCTATTCTATGTCCGTTGCCCACTTTGGCCCTCTGACGCGTAGGGCTATGTTGGTTAATCTGATTCTAATGTGGATATCTTATAGTTACAGATTCTATCACGAAAAGAAACACTGAGAATAGACCTTTACATAGCTCCCTAAGCGACTTTAAGGGTTCCCATATAGCTGTTGACTTTTACCCTATTTCGTCCCATGGGTGTAGTAAGAGGTGACTATAGAAACTGCCAGAAGAATCCTATGGTTTCTATGATTGATCAATCAAGTGAAACAATTAAAGCAAATCCTACCTACAATGTGAGACACCCATTTTGGATATTAATAATATAACTTTTTTTATAGGATAGGATGACAAGCGAGCACACAGTCCACCTGATGGTAAGTGGTTGCTGTGGCCCATAGACATCTACATCTATCCTCGTTTGCGAATCAAAATGCAGATGCGTTGGCACCCGTGAGGACTATGATGGCATGCCTCTTTTCCAGTAAAAAGGGTCTCCGGTTCTCTACACTCACCATACGAAATACAGCAGTGTTAAGCTGCTGTTTTACACTGGTATTCTGTGAGAGCGTGGTCCTTCCCCGGTTAAGCCGACCTATTCGTGCTAAATCTATATTACTAGTATAGCTGCAGCATAGCTCTACCACGTATAGAAATGCTATTAATATTCAATATAATACTAAATAAATTTGATTACTTTGTTTCATGTTGGTAATAGATACACTATTGCCGGAAATATAAAACAAAAATATATTATGCATACAAATTCGTCGTTTACTTACCCTATCTGTGTGAGATGTGTAGTTTAGATTATTATGATAGCGTGCCTAGTTTTAAATATGTGTGTATGTTTATGTGTGTGTGTGTGTGTGGGTGTATTTTTAGACTCTTATGGTCCCCACTCACGGTCAGTTAAACTGAACAGTTTAACTGACGTACATCCAAAAACTGACCGTGAATGCGAAATCTTAAGTTGAAATTTTTAACTGAAGGCAACACACGGATTTTTTCGGGCGTGCTGTCAGTTAAACTGCTCAGTCGAACTGACGTACATCCAAAAACTGATCGTGAATGTGAATTCTTAGGGATGGATTTTTTTGCTTCAAATTTAAATGGGACCACCCTTGAGTAATGAGGTACTTAGCCCATTTAATAAGAAAAGTAACCATTAAAATCAATATAGATGTAGAAATCACGTAAAACCTCCTCTTTTGAAATCGACTTAAAGGACAATAGATTAAGTTTAAATTACGGAGGAACTTAAATTCGTAGGTAGGTATCTGTTCGCTAAGATATTGTCGGTACACCCGGAGGCGCGCTTATTATTTTGCTTTTATTTTATTATTTTTTAATGTTTGTTAAATAAATGTTTTTTTTATTTTAAGAATAATATAGAATAACTTTTTATACTTATGGTTATTGTAGTAAAATACGAATATAATTAATAAAAACAAGTTAGGTAGCTAAGAACCTTTCACTACGACGCTTCGTTTTAAAATGCCAAATTCTCCTTCGGGTGTACGTCACATAGGGTTGCCAGATCGGAAGGCCAAAATATCTGGACAAAATTTGAAAATGTCGGGATTTTGGGGTTGTTGTCGGGAGAAATTAATATGAAAAATAAAAACGTAAAATAAAAATATTTTTTTTAATTAATAGGCTACAAAAAGACTTAGCATTGTTAACATATAACCAATTTAATTATATTTAAATTTTAGGTTGTCACATGTATTTGGCATTGGACTTTACTGATACTTTAGGTCCTTTAGTAGTATTCAGAAACTATTTTTTGTTCAATTCAATTACTAACGATTTCTCTCTTTGGTATATAAATTATATAGCAAACTAAACACTTGCATATAGGAATCGGCATATATTATGATATATTATTTTTCAAGTTTTAGGTCGTTTTGGTTGCATTTTAAAAAAATGCTCAAATTTTGTCATTTTACATATCCTGGTTTTTTGGAAGATGTTTAAGTGTTTCTCGAAGACATATATCGGTATATAAAGTCAATATCGGTTTGAAATATTAAGTACATCAGACGGGTAACTATCTCTTCCCACGTAAATAAATTTGCACCTTCTAAAGATACTATTGCGAATTTTTAAAGAGAGTTCTCAGAAAAATAGCGTTCTTGCAAGTATTGAATAGCTCGTTTTAAAAAATGTTCAGCTTTGACGCAAAAAGGGGTTTTCTCGCTATCGGAAACGTTCCTTGATAAGGTTATTTTTCTACTACCTAAGAATTTGTCATCCAACCTGTTTTTAGATGACTCATTAGTGTTTTCATTACACTTTTAAGTTGTAGGATAGTGCCTGCAGCACTTTCCAATGCTAAAATTGCTACTTGGAACTCCAACATTACGTTACAAAGTACAAAGTATAAATAGGCTTCTGAAATCCCCTTCCTGTTTGCATTCGTCAATCCGTTCACTATTATTATCAATATGGCTAATAGTTTTTTGTTACAAACTCCCATATTAATATCTCTTTTCGACTTCCCCTTTCAACAAAAAAAAAACTGCTTTACAGCAGTCTAACAATACTGTAAATTATCTAAAGTGGGCAAATGAGATAGCCATCTTATCGGGACATGACGAAGAAGAACGTGAACGCACGTGGCAATTTTAAATTATTATTTTGTATAGAACTTTCCAAGAAGCTGTTTGTCTGGAGATTTTGAGTTTTGTCGGGAGTCTGGAGATCATTTAAAATGTCGGGAAAATCCAGACGAATCCCGACCATCTGGCAACCCTAACGCCGCACGCGGCAACCTTTGATGTCGTGACGGCGTCTTTGACAAAATGCGACTCGTGCCAAGTCGGCGCGACACAAAGGCGACCGTATCTAAACAAATAGACTATATGAACACTATTAACTGGAGACCCTTTTAATGAGAGCTAATCTCACGCTCACCAGATGTTGCGAGTTGAATGTGATGATGCTAGTGAAATCTGTCTAATATACAGATAAAGTTATATACTTATATATAATATGCCGCCATGGTGATAGAACAAGTCGTGGATACCCCCTCATTAACGAGTAACGAGTGACGAAGGCATCTTGTTCCTCAGGGATGACAATTTATTTGCATTGGATTCTAACTCTACAGTAGTAGATGAGCCACAGCATCTATCTACTTACCATCAGGTAGACTACTTGCTCGTTTGTTACAACTACATCTATAAAAAGAATAGCTTACGCCATTGGTACGCCCATGTGTCGTAGTATTCGAATCCATTTGTTTCTCTGTTGTTTTTTAATTGATAGGATCTTTAATTGCTGATTCTACGTGGTTAGTTCCAAACAACCCGTTGTCATTGATTTCTCACAAATCATTTTATCTGAAACAAAAGAAAAGAATATAAGCACAGTGTAATTAACTAGCATTTATCATTAAAGTAAAACATGAAAAATTCCATGACATTTTTTCCTTTTCTGACATGTTCGGCGGTGCAAGAATATTCTGTGACGTCGTGAGGAAACTGATCACTGTGGTTATAGCTCACTTTAAATGACAATCAACAATTTCAGTTCTATTCAAAGTTAGGATTAGACAAATGTTGTTTTACGATAGTTTCAAGAGGGTGCTGTTGGATATGAAACTTTTGTTTTCTTTTTACAGGATAAGGGTGACAAACGAGCACATAGTCCACCTGATGGTAAATGGTTGCTGTGGCCCATAGACATCTACATCTATCTTCGATTACGAATCAAAATGCAGATGCGTTGTCACCCGTGAGGACTAAGATGGAATGCCTCGCTTCCAGTAAAAAGGGGTCTCCGGTTCTCTACACTCACCATACGAAACACAACAACGTTAAGCTACCATTTTACGTTGGTATTCTGTGAGAGCGTGGTCCTTCCCCGGTCGAGCCGACCCATTGATGCTACAACTATACCAGGAGTACAGCTGCAGCATGGCACTACCACGTACAATAATTGTGCTATTTAATTTGTAAAAAGCATTATAGTATAGTTGGTCCAGTCGTTAAAATGTGCAAAACCATTAGGTTAAGTTCATTTTATGAAACTACTACCTAATTGACTTATTTTTTGTTGCTTCATAAATATGAAAGTGGGGTATTACGCCATTTTTGCAAGTGAGGGCGACAACTGAGCACACACTCCTGATCTGATCGTGAGTTGGTACTGCGGCCCAATCCAAATAAGGATCCATTGCCAACCGGGGGGACTAAAATGAAATGACTCGTTACAAATTAAAAAATAACTTTAAATGAAAAATATAGTCGTTTGAAGACGGCATTTACTGAAGTCGGTGCTAAAACATAATTTGTAAGAGAATTGATGCTCCGACTTCAAAATGTGAAATTGTTTTATTCTTTTTAATTCTTAGAAGTCGACTTTTACTTTTTATTAAAAGTTAATGTTTGTTAATGTTTACCCTTTTGAGTGGACTAAGGAATGTCACAATCTCAATGTTGTTTAAATAGTACAATATAAATTTCATTTTACTTTTTCAGGGGATTTTGCAAACCACAGGAGTGGATTTTTTGTATCTAGTTTTATATGGAACCACCTCAACACCTTTTGATTAAAAAGAAGTATCAGAATCGGTCCGCAATAAATGACGAAGGTATTGCGTATTAAGGTAAAGGCACCTAATTCCGAGGGGTTCTAAAATTGGCATCATATTTCTTTTATAGAATAAGGGTGACAAGCGAGCACACAGTCCACCTGATGGTAAGTGGTTGCTGTGGCCCATAGACATCTACATCTATCTTCGTTTGCGAATTAAAATGCAAATGCGTTGTTAGCCATGAGGACTAAGATAGAATGCCTGTTTTCCAGTAAAAAGGGTCTCCGGTTCTTTACACTCACCATACGAAACAGCAGCATTAAGCTGCTATTTTACGCTGGTATTCTGTGAGAGTGTAGTCCTTCCCCGGTCGAGCTGACCCATTCGTGCTACAACTATACTACTAATATAGTTGCAGCATGCCTCTACCGCGTATAATAATATTCCGATGTATTTAGAAAAACTGTGTTTACGAGCGAATTACAAGCGTTTTTTTACTGCAAGATCTCTTTTGAATTTTAGTATAACTTTGCGTAGTACATTTTAAAATAATTGGTCAGTTTTGCGTCAGCAGCTGGTCTAAACCCACGCTTCATACATTTTGGATTTTATACACTTAAGTGCCAAGTTTTTTTAATAGTGATTTTTTGATTATTTTTGTTCCGTGTGAGTAACTCTTTAAGTTTGAGATACGTTATTGTTTATTAGACAATTTAAAATAAAAGACGTACGACGTACGTAAGGCAAAGGTATATTGTCAGAGAAACGGGAAAATATCGTGAAAATACGTCTTGAAAATACCGCGGCATTAGGTGCTAAACAAGCATAGTTAACATGCATATACACTTACCATAAGGTGGACTATGTGCTCGTTTGTTACCTGTCTATAAAAAAAATGTAAACCTCCTTTTTTATGGAAGTGGAGGCAAACGAGCATGCGGCTGACACACAAGGATTAAGATTTTTTTTTCCTTTTCCGAAATCAGCTTCAAATAGGTAAACAACACACAATTTAAAAATCAAATATCTTAAAATAAACTGACTACTATATTACTACTAAATAAACATTGAGATTTTTTTCTTTGGGATTTTATCTCAAATGGGAATTATCACTAAGGAAAAGCGCAAATAACGTATTTGATAAGATGCTGCAATGTGTGTAATCGATGACTTCACATTTATTGTTTTATATCCGTAATTTTACAACATTTACTAATTCCACTGCGTATGTTTAAGTTTAAAAGTCTTTTATAATGTCAACATTGGAAACTGCTTCTGATATACTTTTACGAAACAGTCAGCCTCAATGAAGGTGACAATGACTTGGTCCATGTGACGATAAGTAGATTCTGTGGCCCATAAATACCCACCTTCCATCGATCCTCGATTTAGGATCAAATGGTATGCACCATTGACGACTAAGATGGAATGCCTCATTACCAGTAATAATTTAAAATTAAAAATGTTGTACTGCCGACTTCAATATAAGTTATTAAGAATATCTCAAAAACTATTGATCTGACCTTGATCAAATTCAATTCAAGAGAAGTACCAGCTTTCAAATAAAAAAAGAATTATCGAAATCGGTTCACCCAGTAAAGAGTTATGGGGTAACACATATAAAAAAACATAAAGTCGATTTGAGTACCGTCTCCTTTTTGGAAGTCGGCAGAAAAGGATCTCCGGTTTTTAGTAGTATTAACGTTGTAGTGAAGAATTTAGAGAAATTATAGAATTATAAGGCATTAGTTTACCGTGTAGTGACAGTGTAAAAATAACCGTTACGCCATAATATCATTCCGTGGGTGTTGTAAATGGCGACAGAGAAAAATAAATCAGGAGATGGGCAGCAGCGTCTTCCTATAACGACTAAAAATAAAAAAAACTGTGAGGCCTATGTTCAGCACTGAACTTTAATAGGTTGTTATGATAACGATTAGGTATTAGAAGCACCCCGTCTATCTTTTCAATTGAAGTTTGAATGTTCTTTTTTAACTTCAATAATCGATGGTCTATTAAATCTGATGTAATAGCGAAAATGGTTTTTAACATGAGCACAGACTACAGACTTCACGGAGCGACGAACTTGAAGGGAGGATATTCTAACTTTTCTCCAAAACGAATGCTAACCTAACCTGATGATTAGTGGACGAGGTTCTGGCAACTGATTGATGGAAAACCTAATAGTGACTTAGTACAATAAATAACAAATTTCGACTACGCAACCTCCAAAACAAGGTGAAATAGCGCCTTGCCGAATTTAGACATGATAAGTGGCATAATCTGCAGGAAACCTCGATCTCGCCTTTGACGACTCTGAAAAGGCCGAACGCCTCGCGAACAGTTTAGAGAGCCAATGTACTCCCACTAGCAAATCTATAGATCCCGCTCACCTTTCAGAGGTCGAAGCGAAGGTCGAGCGTAAGTCTGCACTATCACCTACGGGCGACCCCATAGATGCTGTGAAATTCGACGAAGTCACAGAAGTAATAAAAAGCCTCAAAAATAAATCAGCACCCGGCCCTGATGGTATTACGAACAGGGTACAAAAAGCGCCACTTGTTTGCCTCCTAGTAGACATTTTCAACGCTCTTCTTTCCAATTACTCCTTTCCGGATGCCTGGAACGTTTTGAACGTGGTAGAGCCATGCTGCAGCTATATTAGTAGCATAGTGGTAGCATAGTGGTTACCATCAGGTGGATTGTGTGCTCGTTTGTCACCCTATCGTATAAAAAAGGACATACGTAATAGGAAACCCAAAACTTAGTTACAGACAAATCAGTCTCGTCAGCAAACCGGGGACAGTTTACGAGCGACTCATATTAGATCGCCTTCGTAAACACGTCTTCGCTAACAAGCTTCTTTCAAACGTGCAGTTCGGCTTTAGACAGAGTACATTCCGAAAGGTTTCAACCTTTCAAAAAGAGGCCGTAGGACCACTAGCATCGGCACCCGCTTCTTCGATGTCCAAACAGCCGGAGAGGACACCTGTGTCTCGGTTAGAAAGAGCAAGGCCGGCTGCGCCGTCTCCAGATGCTAGTGGACGGTGTTGAGATTCGAATGAAGTTCCCTGGTCCATACCTGGTCCATAAATTCACGGATAGCGTGGCAGGAGTCACCTTTGTTTTATTGCTCCGCACTCTCTTCATCCAGTCCAACTCGACTCTTGATGACGGGGGGAACGCACCGTCGAACATCCCGCGGTGTGAGCGCTCCTTGGAGGTACTGTTTACCCAGCACTCGGTGCGCAAAGCATTCCTCTCCCTTGAAGTCAACATGTCGAGTGGATCACCAGTTTTCTTGCAGATCGGAGCATCAAGGCCGTAGTAAACGGTTCATGCTCCGATTACAATGCTGATGTTCCACAAGAGTGCATGCTATCACCAACGCTGTTTCTTCTGTATATCAATGATATGTTGCAAACCGGTATCATCCATTGCTATGCAGACGACAGCAGTGGTGATGCTTTATACACCGGCCCTGCCAACATTTCTCGGGAAAACGTAGCCGAGTACCGGAAAAAACTTGTGTCTGAAGTCGAGTCTTTGTTGAACAAAGTCTTCTTCCGTTCTTCTTCTTCTTCTTCAAAGAGTTCTTTCCGATCGGCTTTACTAACTGGCACTGCGAAGAGATATTACATCTCTTTGCGTATTTTATCGCATCTACCACGGAGAGTGCTCTAAGGAATTGTTCGAACTCT